TTCTCGCTGAGTTTGTTTGATACTCTACTACGAAATAATTAATTCATAATGTGTTTTGTTTTGTGTTCGACACCTGAATTTAATTAATATTTACATTATTATTTGCTACGAGACAAACACGTGTGTTCCACGTTTGGCTACACTCAGCTTTTGGTTGTCTAACCTCTAGAAATAAATTGTTAATTACATAAAACATCGGTGCCAACTTGAGACTTATTTGTCATACAGATTTTATTGTCTTCGTTGAAAGGCAAATAGAGTTGTCATTATTGTTGGAGACGTGAGCATATGCTACTTATTCTCAGAGTCATGCAGTCTTCAGCATGAAGGAAGAACTACAAAATGATTGATCTCAAAGTCAATTGTGGAGGAGTAATGTGGTAGTCTGTAATTTTTTTAATTTTCATACAAAATAAATTTTATAAATTCAGATTTGTATGAAAATTAAAATAACAAAAATGAAGATATAAATTTTCTGAGTTCACCATACCATTTATTTGACCATGTTAACATGGGCTAGTGTCGGCTCATATACCCATTTACCTAACACCCTGTAGAGTCAACGGAACGCATATATTTATATTCATGTTAGTGCATTGAAGAATCCAGCAAATATGTAGAGCTATATAGTTTTCCACAACACAATAGAAGTATTGTTCAAAATGACATTTGAACTTTCCCTATTGCTATGTTTGAATTGAATACCATTTAACTGACTCGAATTTTAATTCGGAGTCGTATTTTGGAAGCATTCGATTCTAATTCGCGTTCGAAATTACGAGTGGGCTTTATTATCGGTCATCCTTTGTTTTAGCGTCCACAACACGATGCTAGCACATGTTGTGACGTCACTGATTGTCTTTGTCATCGGCCAGAAGGCCACAGGCAGAGTAATTATAGAGCGCGGTGCAACGACCTCGGGCGAGATGTGTTACATAAACACATTTCACTTCGCGGTGCGCGCGCGCCGGTTAAAGGGCAGTGCCTGTTTGGGCACTTCCTTACGCATTAACTATTATAAATACAACACATTTTATTATAAAAAAAATATTTAATGAGGTCACTGAGGTTATAAAGATGGCACCAAAATAAACGACCAAAGCAAACCGCAATGTTTTTGTTTGACTCAAAAGTCATTACACACATGTCATTGTATTTTATTTTAGCGCACAGATTATCTATTTCGCAATTTGCTTTGAATTTAACTATTATTTAGTCACATGATAGAAGAAGAAGATGTTCCATATGGTTCATTTTGGAGATTCGCTATCAAATTACCCTCCTCAATCTATCTGGCCAGGGTGAGGAGTGTAGGGGAGTGTAGGTCAAGTCCTTTATTTACCTAGTTTGGTACCATTACCATACCATGGTAGTTTGGAGAGGGTCGTGCTCCTGCATTAGAGATTTAATGACCACTAGGTCTAGATATGTGCCTATTTTTTCTTTACGTTCACGGAGCGATGTTACTCCACACAAAAAACGCCGGAGCTAAGGCCTTTTGCTGCCTTTTGCTCAAAGCTCAAGACCGAACGAGATGGAGGACGGTTGTGGACGCCCTCTGCCCCATCTAGGGGACATAGGACCATAAGTCAAGTAAGGCCTTTTGACATTACAACTGTTAAATTTTGCCACTTGTCTTGGGGGGTTGATGATATCAAACTGTAAGAGTCGCTCGATGGTTCTAAAGGCATGAAACACCATTTAAAACAAAAGGAGTATAGGGGAGTATAGGTGAAGTCCTTCATTTACCTAATTTGGTGACATACCATGGTAGTTTGGAGAGGGTCGTGTCCTGCAGTGGAGACTTAAGACTGAAGATGATGATGGTAACACATATTGAAGAGTCGCTATATTTTTCTATAGACATCAAACGCCATTTAAAACTAAACCCGTTTTAAAAGCGGACAAAATAGACGGTTAAGCAAACGTCCCCGAGCAAGGTCTTGAGTTTGCAAATAATTAGCATTTTTCCGGCACTTAATGGTCGGAAGTTGTGATTCATGACAATTGTGATGCCAAACGGACCGGTTTACGTTTTGTTGCTTTAATAGATATACAGACGACAGGTATAAAGCTAAATATTGCGGTATTTTATGTAGTGGCGATAGATACTATTTTACAATAGATGAAGAGCTAGTGAACGCCAGACCTACGTCATTTTATAAAAGCTGAAAGTTTGTCAGCGTATGCTCCCAATATAGGATATAATTTTGCTGAATTATGAAGTTTGGGTCATGGTGGCTTTGGGAGCTACCCTAAAAAAACTGTCTGGCAAAAGTTGGAACTGTCAAAACTGTCTGGCTGTTGGGGAAAATACTTCTAATTATTGCCCAAATATTATACATAAAAAACAGATTTTATGGTATAACGTAAGTCTAACTTTGACGGTGGCTTTTTCTGTATATTCAATAGACTGTAATTCTACTAACGTTATACCATTAGACGTAGGTCTGGCGTTCACTAGCTCTTAGTCTACAACAAAAGTACGTAGTGTGACGTGTCTTTGTACGTCTCATAAATATTGGAACATTCGCGATTGTAAATACAGATTCTGTCGTTTTGTTTGATTACATTTCTAGCTTCAGCCCGATTCTCTCGTGGATTGCGGAAAACCTTCCTGTGATTTATTTGTCTATTCTAAAACACTGTTTATATTTTCAAAAGCAGATAATTATGTGAATATCCTACTAGTTTCTGTCCTGTCTTCGTCCGTGTGGATCTTTCGCATGTCCTACATTTTATTTATTTGGAAACAATTTATTTTTTCAATGGCTTTTGGATTTGAATTTCTTGATTAAATCGGCCATGATGCGTTCCTCCCTATACCTCTAAATCTCCGTCGACAAAGAGTTGTCAAATATCCAATCTCCAAAAGGTTTATCCGTGCAAACAAATATTAACATATGGAGATACACTATAGTCACGGTCTATAGTGTATTGCAGATTTAATCAATCTCTTTGTTTACTTTGCGGTGATTCTGCCTAATGTCATTTAAGATAACTCAATCTTTTCTTATCTCACAAGTGTTTGAAGTGTCGAAGTCATACTTATGTTTTTTTCTTTTGGTGATTACTACTACTACTTTGCCTGGCCCATTCCCATTTTATTTGGGGTCGGCCCTCTTTATGGTCGTTATTGATTACCGACATCCATGTAATTCGGTGATTACTACGAAATCATAATCTATTTCCCCATCAAAATCAGTATTCGCTAAATGTCAGAGTGCCAACCTTTTCAAAAGTTAATGTTTTCGGTGTCGCTAGGTTTATTTCGTGTTTAGAAACTCATTTGTTCAGCTCATTTGTGTAATAATAGAGCAAATAGAGCATAATTTAGTTCTTCTGATTATTACAATCTACTTATTATTACTAGGCTGTTACTGGTAATATAACAGTGATTTAATATCAATGTAGGCTATCCATTATTTCCGGCTGTGGACTATAATAGAGAAGCGTTGGATAATCACAAAATTATAGGTCTCATAACTAGAGCAAATGTTATTAGATAATCACGGCGCTGACCTAACACAAGAGATCGACAACTTTCTAAAAACGCTTTGCATCTATAGTCTGGTCCGGGAGCACGGAATGGACAAAATTCTACGTGCTCCCGGACCAGACTATATATCTTTAAAAGCGAAAGGTCACTGACTGACTGACTCACTAATTCATCACGAAATCTCAGAAACTACAAGTGCTACGAGTCTCAAATTTTGCATGGGGTTCCTTTTAGAACGTAGGTGCTCACTAAGACGGGATTTTGCAAAATTTAACCCCTAAGGGGGTAAAAGGGGTGCACGCGCACGAAGTCGCGGGCGACCGCTAGTTTATTATAACTTCACTTTTCAACCGTTGTCAATAAAACAATACAACTTTTTTCTAAGTAGAAGTTTGTGTTCAGACAATCATAATCTACTACACCATGGGTATACCCAGAGGACCCCCCCTGGAAGTCGCTTTGAAGGAGCTAAGTCAAACTAGGCCAAAAGCTGAGTACGCGGACGAATGCTTGAGACAAAACGCCAATACTGATGTCCCGCGTTCCCGACTCATATGGCTACCGAGGGCAACGTCAGGTTTTTAGTGGGTAGGCCCTGCCCTTCTGGCAGGGAGAACCCCACATAACCCTCTAACTGCCCCCGCGGCTGGTGGGTATACAAATTAATGTATTTTCCTGACGAAAAAAATAATAATGCCAAAAGCTGAGTATGACTTGGAGTCAGATTACGGTTTTACTTCATTTGTGAGTTTATTTTAACATCTACAATCTACATTATAGAGGAAGTTTCTACTGTATCATCAGCATTATTATCTTCTAGTTCGATGTGGGTCATGAAATATTCCACGACCTATTTCCAATTTATAATGCTGGCCTATTGAATTTATGATTAATCTATGGTTTGAATTTGAATTATTTTAAGTGGTGGTTAATATTTAGTCCAAATGGATCTTTTCGATTTGGGTGACCTCAAAATATTGTTTGGGACATAAATTAAAGCAGATTTAGGAGTTAGAAGTTTCTGCACCCATTTATTGAATAGGATAGTTGCATTTTATGCCAATGTGGGCTTGGTCAGGGTGATGCAACAATTTGTATCATCAGGGAAAAAAACTATAATTTGTATTATGATTATTATTAATAACTGTTAATTAAACAGAAATATTGCCAGATTATGACACTTGGATCAGCAACGAGCACCCACGTGGCTTAGCTTTCCGCGGTGTGCTAATATACCTTTGATTTCAGAATACATGACAGAGATCTTTAAGTTCTCCCAGTACAGGTTTTTAGTGAAAGGAAGTTTAAGCATGCTTTTAGCCAATTTATTTCACGCTCGCAAGGACTTTTTCTGCCATTCCCCTTATGGCCACGTGGCTCTACGGCCTTCGTCCTACCGATCGTACCACATGAATTTTTTACACATCATCACTCCTTTGCGTCGCGCAGTCGGGTAAAAAGCAACCTTATTCCATGCTAACAAGAACTTTTTCTTCCATTCCAGTCTTAAAAAGCGACGGGCGCCGTCGCTGCGCATAAAATGCGCTCTCTGCTAGCGTACTACGCTGAAGCCGTGATGTCGGCGGCGGCTCGCGGCGCGGGCTGCACCCTCGGCTGCAGCGGCCGCGGCGACTGCCTCAACGGCACCTGCCTGTGCGAGATCCGCTACGCCGGCGACCAGTGCGCCGCGCCCAACTTCTCCTACCACGCCTGTGAGTATACCCTTGACAGCAAGACAAGCAATAAGGATGTACCCTCGGCTACAGCGGCCGGCGACTGCCTCAACGGCACCTGCCTGTGCGAGATCCGCTACGCCGGCACGGTAATACTATCTATACAGTATTCCAACTCGGCCATATTTTTGAAATAAATGTCAACAGCCCCGCGGTACGTCACGGTATGACAACATGCGATAGGGCTGCTCACTTATGGTACCCATTCAAATTAAATCTGTCCACTAAGAATTTCTGTCTAGTTTTGTGATTGTAATTTTTTTTTTATTTAGACGAACAAAAGACTTTGTGAATGGAATAGGATAAAAATGCGTGTTGTTTTGTGATTACTAGATTTAATTTTAAAAAATATACTAAAATAATTTTGAATCTACTAATCATAATGAGTACTTAATGACCTGTTACTTTAATTTCGGGCTGGCGAAGTCGTGGACCAAAGCTGGTTTTATACAATATAATTTTCATTTCAAATCGAACTGACTGAAAATGACCATTTTTGACAGTTAATGACTAGTTTTTGACAAATTTGATCGTTTAAGACGGTCAGTCAAATTCAATCACCTTAGTCATTTTCAACACTAGGCCATCGACGTCCGTTCGGCACATTCGCGACACCCCTAACTTCTGGATCTCGACCACGTCCCGTGATTTGAAATTCGAAGGAAAACTCGCGTTTCGTCGGTTTATATGAAGTTACAATACTGTATGATATTATTACCGTGACGCCGGCGACCAGTGCGCCGCGCCCAACTTCTCCTACCACGCCTGTGAGTATAGCTGAGTTCACAGACCTCAGACACAAGCCATGGGGCTGCCTCGTCTGCAGCGGTCGCGGCGACTGCCTCAACGGCACCTGCCTGTGCAAGATCCGCTACGCCGGAGACCAGTGCGCCGCGCCCAACTTCTCGTACCACACCTGTGAGTATACCCTTGACAGCAAGACAAGCAATAAGGATGTGCTTTCGGCTGCAGCGGCCGCGGGGACTGCCTCAACGGCACCTGCCTGTGCGAGATCCGCTACGCCGGCGACCAGTGCACCGCACCCAACTTCTCCTACCACGCCTGTGAGTATAGCTCCGTTCACAGCCCTCAGACACAAGCCATGGGCTGCCTTGGCTGCAGTACTACGCCTGTGAGTACACCCCCTTGACAGCACTCAGACATAAGCCATGGGACTACTACCCATGTCAAGAGTGGCTGACCACACACAGCGAAATAAGACACAGAAACTAGCAGTGAGGGGACCTACCTTGACGGTGCCTGTCTATGCAAGCTCTGTGATTTTTTTCCATTGCATTCACCTACTATCTACTCTTTCGGAATCTATAACCTCAGCAAGACCAAGTCCCCACTTGCTCCTGATAAATTAGACAGCGTAGTACTCCTGCAGTCGAGACCAAAAGATCTGATGACGATAATAATGACATCAATGTCTCCTTCCAGGCATTGGCGGTATTTTCCTGGTGGTGGCGTTCATCTGCGCAGTCCAGCTGACAATTTGCGTGGTCGCCGAATACCGGCGACTGAAGGCGCCCACGTTCCTGCGAGCGTGCAAGGTCACCACGCAGAAGATGCTGTACTTCGTCGCGTTCCTGGCCTCGCTCATACGAGGGGCTTACTTCGTGTCCCCGGTGAGTTGAGTAAAGAATGTAATGGGCACGGGACTATTCCCACCTCTCGTTTCCACCGCTGCAACTCCTGTGTAGCCAGGATCTACAGCTTGGCCGCCAATAAAAACCAAACCAGTGGAGGTCAAGTTTGCAAGGGGCAGTAAGAATTCCTCTTCTCTATGCCATTAAGATTAATGCCAAATGCTGTGCTGTGTTCCAGCAGTAGTAGTAGTAGTAGCAGCAGTAGTATAAAACCGGCGACTGAAGGCGCCCACGTTCCTGCGAACAGGGTCACCACGCAGAAGATGCTGTACTTCGTCGCGTTCCTGGCCTCGCTCATCCGAGGGGCTTACTTCGTGTCCCCGGTGAGTGGTCCGAGACAGCTGACGGTCGGTGTCTCCAGTACCGGCGGCTGAAGGTGCAAGGTCACCACGCAGAAGATGCTGTACTTCGTCGCGTTCCTGGCCTCGCTCATCCGAGGGGCTTCCTTCGTGTCTCCGGTAAGTTGAGTAAAGAATGCAAGGCGCACGGGACTATTCCCACCTCTCGTTCCCACCGCTGCAACTCCTGTGTAGCCAGGATCTACAGCTTGACCGCCAATAAAAACCAAACCAGTGGAGGTCAAGTTTGCAAGGGGCAGTAAGAATGCCTCTCTTCTAGATTGATTCCAAAAGCTGTGTGGTTCCAGTAGTAGAATAGAACCACCCCCTCTCTTCCTGTGGATATCGTAACTATGAGAGAAATATGCGAACATCAGGCCTGCATAAGTGTGGACGTCCTGTGGCTGAAATGATGATGATGATGAGGGCTGCATAATCCATATGGTCAGAGTACCGAGCGCCGCGAGCGTAGGCCAAATCCATTGATCTAAGAGCTTGTCTAAGAGCTTGAAATGCAGAGCCGGATTAACCCATAAGCGAATAAAGCAATTGCTCAGGTCAGCACAAAAAAATGGTTAGATCTACTTTGTAAAACGAGCATGTGATTATGTAGGTATTCTAGCAAATAAATTATTGAATTTGAATTTAAACTATTTTCCGCGAATTCAAGACCCGTAAAAGTCAACGCGCATTTCAATGTGCACTAATACAGACTCCATAGAACGATATTGAAGCAGACATAATGTTTACCTAGTTCCGAACCACATATTGACTGTAGTATATGTTTTCAGTCCGCGTTCCAGGAGGGATGGGCGACGAGCCTGCTCTCGGCGTACTACCCGCTGCTAATGTCCGGCTCCTCGCTCATCGTGTGCTTCTGGGCAGAGGTATGTACATAGTATAATTATATTATTTACTAGCTGACCCGGCGAACTCTGTTCCGCCTTAAAGGCAATAACTAAGCCATAGCTATTTTTCCTTATTTGCTCACCGTTTAGACCTACCCTGGACTACGAAAAACATTTTAAAACCAAAATCAGCTCAATCGGCCCAGCCGTTCTCGAGTTTTAATCAGACTAACGAACAGCAATTCATTTTTATTTATATAGATAAATGTAATCGCCCCGGGTGCCCGCCCACCCATGCTACGCCGCCACTGAACCGAATAATAAAGTTAATAATAATTTGTCTGTATCAGATGCCTATAGTACTTTTTTAAAATTACAGCGAGAAATCTAATAATCGTGTTTAACGCCATCTATCGCGTGTATCGCGTACTACGCGACAACATGCCGAACCTAATGAGTGTGCGTGCGCATACAATGCATTTATTTTACGATACATGTGTTGAAAAGGTGGAACTGTAGATGGCGCTATTAGTCGCATTTCTTGTTTCCTGCGTGAAAATCTTATTTACACCAACTTTCGGTAAAAACTTTATTTACGTTAATTTAAAAGAATTTATAGGCAAGTAAACGTTTTCAATTTTACGGTATTCATCTCACAATCATAAGCAAATATTATGAGGCAGGCTTATGTGAATTATGTGTTGAATTTTCGTTTACTTACTCAGCTGGATTGATATGTCATGCAGCGAAATTAATCAGAATTGAAATAAAGTTTTCAATATCTTATTTAATAATAGTTTGGCCAGGTTTTTTTTGCCATCCTATTTGCGATAATATATTTTTTAAAACTTACTAAAATTAATTTAAAATACTGTTCATCCAGTAAACAAATACAGGTCGATTATAATATTAGGTGTTTAGAAAATGCTTACTTCTAGCTGTTAAATTCGAAATTATACAGTGACAGTTAAACAATCATGTTCAAGACTCTAATTTAATTCAAACAATATCAATGCATAAAATAAACTTCGAGAAACGCAATATCTTGAGAATACAGCCACTTTAAAAGCGCTTTTTAAAAGCCTATTTGCAGAAAATAAATGACTTGCTAACGGAACAAAGACGTAAGTATGAGTAGTCATTTCCCTTATCTCTCTAAATCTGTCTTTTGTACAGACGACAACACATCACATATTTTTATTCCAATATCGCACGTATTCCAACTGCATACGGTACCATAATACTTTCTGCTATCTGTACCGCTTGTCACGCATCCCTCCACGTTCCAAACATCATTACAAAGTAATTCCTCAATTCCTGGACACGAGACGAACAACTTAATCGCATAATTTTGCACAATTAAACGAATTATCGCACGACAAACCTACTATGTTGGTTGATAGCTTAATAGTTTTCATCTCCGACATATGAGATATGTCATGAGAATACTAAGTTGACTATGTTGTTTGTGAAAATTGTCTTTGCTGAAATAGTGTCGTACTGTATTTTTATAACAACTACGGAGAAATTCTTGGCCTGCGTCTTACCCCATGGAAAGTGATGATCAGGTCGATATTGGAAAAAAGCGTCACCGGGAATCCTCAACTTGAGAGGAACTGGCTACCTTATCTTATCGAAACTTTTGGCCTGCGTCTCAGCTGATGAAAATTAGTTAATCAGGCTGGAGGAGGTAAAATGCTTCACCAGGAATCCTCAATCACAAAGCAACTGCTTATCTTAACTAACTTCCAATTAGTCAGGTGGACATAGAATTTTTAGAATGTTGTATTTGTATACCACCAGGTAGAGCTTGTTGAAAGAGCACTTGAAAAATTTACTGTAAAACAAGGAAGCTTGTATGGTTAAATTAAACGTTCTAACTGTTTTAAGTTCTTCGTTCTTACTGCTTTGGTTTTGGTTTATTTGCTTTTGCCGCAAATAAAATAATGAAAAAGCCATCGCTGCGTTTAGTCATACGGGGAAATACTTTAGCGAGGTGCGAATTCATGGTACAGCTTTGGTTGGATGTTCCAAGTACTATTTGTTTTAAACCATAGACCAAATATTTGCTATCAAATAGGTAGAGCATCTCTGGAATCTGACTCCATTATGACGTCTTCATGGTCTGGTTAGTTCTTCTGATGAAGTCTGTCCACCTAAAGGTACTAGGTTCAATTCTCAAGTCTCACATAATGATATTTCAAGTGTAGTCATCTCAATTTTGCTGGCTAATGTTCTTTCATCTTCCCTTACTTGAATAGAATATAATCGTTTTTATTTGACAGAAAGTTACACAAAAGAATCACCTCAAGAGAGAAAAGACAAAATCTCCTTAGACCGGGTTGTTTCCACCAAAACGGAGCAGAGTGGTTCTCCTCTGGAAAAAAGGTACTCCCGCTCAGCATATTATATCAAAACCGCCAGAGGCATGTCTATTACTGTACTATACAATAGCTACTACAATATTGAACGAACATTATGTACTTCAAGAACCTAGTCGTAAATGTAGATTATTCGGAAGTTCAGTTGTTTATCGCTCAACACGGGCGGCCTCGGATCGTGAGGCCAAGTGTGCGAAATGCGAATAGAAAATAGAGAATTTGCATTTGCCGTACTTTATTGACGCACTGAGAAACGGATTGTTTTATTGCATTTTTATTAGATTTTATTTTGTTTTTTTTTGTTACTCCCGGGTAGGGTTGCCAGGCGTCCGGCTTTAGCCGGACATGTTTGGCTTTTTAGGGGCTTGTCCGGCCAAATATTGTCTTGTCCGGCCTGTCCGGCTTTTATGTGGCTGCCGCGCCAGTCGAAACTCGAGCCACAGAATAATGTTATGTTCATTCAAAGATGATAGTACCCACTCATGAGCAGCACAGAGTCCGGCTTTTGTGTTTTTGGACCTGGCAACCCTACCCGGGGTTATTATGTAATCAGAAATCAGAAATATTTATTTGCTTTTACATGGTTTTACAAGATATTATTATTACAATTGGCATGTCCACATGTTGACTTAATTAGTCGTGCAAATATTGAAAAAAAAAAAAATGTAAGTACAAAAGAACAATAATAAATTACAGCGTTTATTTTTGTCAGTTTGTAGTATTGAAAGAAGTTGAAAAGTGCTAGCGGAATCGCATCTCGCTAAACATCAGGTGCGATTGCGGTCAAATACCTGCCTTGTTCTGCATCTGCAGAAAAAAAAACATTTGAAGTTACGAAAACAATGATACGGCGGCGTGGCGTGGGTGGATTATTATTCTAAAAATAGCTATTATCAAAAAGTAAACAGGACAAAATGGACCGCGAACTTATGGTTCACTTTATGTTAGGTGGTTGTCACGATATACAAAATGTAACAATTTAAGGTTTTTATAACAATCTACAACAAAAAATCAAGTTGTTAGTCCTATTCATAGCTAAATTAGCACTTTTGTCCGCGTTAATTATCATTTCCTTGTTAAAGAAAGGCGCGCGTTTCCTCTTCCAAAACACTTGACAGTAACGTACAAGCTCTTAAAGTTTTTATATTGTCAACATTTTATTGAGTTATTACCATAGCAGAGATAATTTTCGGGATTAGCACCATTTCATGTCTCTGCAACTCTCAAACTATAGTTTTATGGCCACTATAGCCGAACGGTGAAGGGGTCGGAGTGGCCGACTCGAGATCCGAGGAACGCGGGTTCGAATCCCACCGCCGCTCGACTATTGTGGTGAGCCCACTCGTAACACAAGCTTATTTAGCTTACCACGAGGGGCTAATGGGACTATTATTTAGTAATTTGCGCAACACAAATTGCTAATAAACTTAAAAAAAAAGATCCTATATCCCCATATCTAGAGATTGCAAAATCCGGATTTTTGTTAAATCCGGTTTTCCGGATTTGTGTTACGTACAAATCCGGATTATCCGGATTTTTCGAATATTGAGTAAATTTTTTAAACCATCAATTTAATTTAAATAAAACGTAGTTTTTTTTCAAAAAGATGTAAGTATTTGAAGAAAAGTGTTTTATTTTATTATCACGCATGGAATTTATTCCTCTTATTTTCGGTTTGCGCTACAAATTTCGAAATTATTTGAACCTTGCATTATTTTTTTTCGTTTTAGTACAACTGCATTTCAGAATAAAAACTTGCTTGTACCTATAAAATATTTTTTTTTTTATTCTTTTTCTTGTCGTGTCGATAAAAAACCTATACAGCGACCAGCCCAAAACTCCGCCACAAGAGTGGCGTTGTCAGTAGCCTTCATTAAATCTTCCTGCTTGCAGTTTTTTGGGCAGGCAGGGTACGACATCATGTGCTTCGTCGAATGGGGAACAAAACCATACTTGCACTCCAAGTTTGATCCACCCAAGAATCCCCACCTGACACCTGAACAGATTGTCCTTACTACGGCAGACCTGTCCGAAGTCTATAAAGATTTCCAGGTAGGCCAGGGGAGCTAATTTTTTTATTATAATTTTATTTTACACTTTTAAGTTGTATTTCAATCTCAGGGCCCTGGTCATTATTTACGACCAAAGTGCTCGGGAAGACGAATCCAACGAACTCAAACTCTATAACTTTCTGCCGTTTCGGTTAGGAGTTCCTATGGCCACCTCCTGACTTCATCATCAGGACCCTGAACATCATCTAGCACTTTTGCTTGAAAAGACAAATCCAACAAACCCAAATTTGATGAGTTTCCACCGTTTCGTTTAGGAGTTCCTATGGCCACCTCCCGAATCCATCATCAGGACCCTGGGCATCATCTAGCACTAAAGTGCTCGAAAAGACAAATCCAACGAACCCAAGTTCGATGCGATTCCGCCGTTTCGTTTAAGAGTTCCTATGGTCACCTCTTGACTCCATCATCAACCCAGCTAAATGGTCGGCGGTATAGCCAACAACCTGTTTAGAACTCTTTTAAGGATTTCTCCACAATCACCCCNAGGGTCTGGAGTGACATGCAATAAATAATTTGAATTTGAATTTGGAGTGGAGGCCGCGTACCGGAAAAAGCAGCGTGGGACGTCCACCCACAAGGTGGACCG